TAGTTTCTCACTTTCATTGTATGAGACACCAGTGTTGGTATGCAACAGTTTGGACAGGCTTAAAAGTCATCCTTCAGCCTGGATACAGAAGAAGCCATGGACTAGAAGTCCTATCACTACACAGCAACTGGGTGGTCCCTGCAGCAAGACTTTAGAAACAGCAATTCTTTCTATCTCATTAACAGCAATCAAGAGGGCTTCTTCTAAACTCACACTGCCATGATGTACATCAACGTTATTCTTCTGAAGACAGAAATCGGCAGTGATAGAGAAAACTTCCACACCTTACTCTTTGGCAAATACTTTTCCCATATGTCCCAGAAATTGACTCTATTTATTAAGTTTATCTTGGCTAACCTCTAGAAATAGGAAAACTTCCTCCTAAATCTGATCAGGAGCTAGGCAAGTACCTCAATGTTGAGTCCACACATAGCATGCAGAAGGAGCCTAAATTTGATCCCAGCACCAATAAATATTTTAAATATTTATTAAAAATTTAATTTTAAGCAACTTCCCATTATGATACTATCAAAAGGGGAAAAAAGAAAAACATTATACTGGATTTCCCATCTGGACCCAGACATGACTCAAGGGAGTCAAAGCCATCCTCACAGGTGCTACAGACACAGGAAGAGGGTCAGATTTCACCTTCCACCTCCATCTCCCTCCCACACAGGCAGATCTACTCCTGATTTCTGAGAGCTTCCCCATCCAGGCCCATGAACAAAGAGCTTGTAGATGCCCTGCTCCAGTCCCTGTTTGATGCTTACTAATTGTGTGCTCATTGCCAAATCCCAGCACACCTTGGGGCTTTATTTTCTCTCCTATACAATGCAGATCACCTTTACCCAAGGCCCTTAGGAGGATGGCAGATCACAGTGAGTGCAAAATCCTGCCACTGGGGACAGCACACAGTAGCCACCAAGATCACCTCCTAGAGCTACTGACCCACCACGGATAGCAGCTCCCTGAGGTGAGTGTGTGAGGGATTCAGTCAAGAGACAATGCCTGAATTCAATCTGGGTTGACCCACTCCTGAGATGTGGACATGGACAACTCACAAATCATCTCTCGGTGAAGTTTCTCTTCTATTACATATGATTCTGCTCATGCAAGAATTGAGCTGTGATACTCAGAAATGGTCAGAAGTCTTAGAATAAGAAGGAGTTTTTTGTATCAGATTGTATCTCTGCCCTTAACCACACTCAGGGCCTGGAGAGCTTAGCTACCACCTGTTGATTCATACCAGTCTGTTGCCTGAAATGCTCTGGCCTACTGTGCTTCAGTCACCACTTAGCAGTCACCACTGCATGAAAATGCAGCTTTTAAACTATAGCTATCTAGCAGTGATGGCTTAAGAGCTGGTGGTTCAGGAGCCTTGCCTCTTCTCTTGGCACCTCTCTCCAAGTGTCCCAGAAAGGTCTTCTGAGGTGTTTTCAAGCTTCCTCACACCCTTTGTACATTTAACCAACAATATCTCTAAAATGTGCCCAAATATGCTTTCTCTAGCCCAGGACAATAGGCTTCTGGGTCAGTCTCTAGCTACAAATGACAGTGGATTTAATGGAGTCCCTGTCTGCACCCACCACAACCCCACTGTCAAAATGGTCTAGAAGAAAACATGCAGGTGATTCCTATCACGGCAGCCTCTCAGAACAAAGGTGTCCCTTTGAAGAATGCAACTAACATTTAAAGCCTCTTGGGTCACCTGGTTCTTGGGCAATAGTCTGTGAGAGAGAAACCTGATTCTGATACCAGTGGGAAGATGAAGTGTAAAAAGTGAGTGGCTGGAACCTAGATAGCCTTCAGCCTCCATCAATGAGTAACTACTACCTCAGGAAGGGAGATCATGTGCACAAGGGAGAAATGCCTGTCTGGCAACAATTACTAAGACTCAACCCCATAAGTTACAGCCCAAATGTGGTATACTGGGTAGCTCCAAGGGCATTGCATTCTGTAGGGTCAAGGTCAAGACAGCCTGGTTGGAAGGCTAAATCTCCTGCCTGCAGAAACTCCTTTTCAATTCCAGGTACTGCAATCAAAGCTTTCAGTGAACCAGAGGGGATACAGGTGGGATGGAAGTGAAATCCTCCAAAATTAGGGCCTTGAGGTGCCATAGAAAACAACCACAACCCAGGGATATGAAGTGAGGTAAGGGCCTTGGATCAGGGCTCAATGCCCTAGCTTCAGAGGTCATTCAAACTCTCTGCATCTTAGATACTAGAGGTTCTTCCATGGAGTTTGTTAGAATAGCCTAAGAGGAAGGGGATCCCCAAGGGATCCAGATGTCAAGATCTGCCTCCCTTCATGCTTTTCTCCCCACCAGGAAAGGGTCTTCAAAGTGGTTAGCTGCCAGGCAGGAACTTAGGAACACTTGTGATTGCAGGTGGAAAGCTGCTCACTGATAACTTCACTTGAAGTTGTTTCTTTGTTTCAGAAACTGATCTTTAGAAAAGGCCTGGAAGAACCAGCTTAAATCAGTCAAAGATACACAGCTTCTCTTCTAAGTGACATTGAATTAAATTTGCTCACTGTAACTCATTATAATGCTAAATTCTCTCCCCTAAATGCAGTGCATCTGCCATTCATTTGGTTTGATGCTGGAAATAGAAGCCAGAGCTACATTTTGCAGTACATATTTCTCAGAACAAAGGAAAGATAATATAATGCCATCTGTATTATTTTGAGCCCTCCAGAAATCAGTTTTGAACATTCTTGCTAATTTGTAGTATAGAAATAGAGTGCCCAAACAGGAATGTGTATTAAGTTATATGAAGAGAAAGCCTAGTATGTAAAATGAAACTAACCAGAATATATAAGGGATCACTCCCTACACTAAATGCTCAGCCTTTGGATAAGAATCCACAGAGGCTGGATACACACAAATAAACACTGCTTCCTTTTGAATACTCAGGTTTAAGAATCCCATGCAACATTTTATTCTGTTTTGTTTGATGCAAAAACTCATTTATCTTATCTTTCTCATTGCTATTTATACATAATGACCAGTTTGCTTAGAAGTATTTACATCCTATGAGAAGTGAAAAGAACACAAGAGGTTTTCTATGGCAATAATTCACATGGCTTCTATAGAAAGTGTGAACAGGCCTGGAGATGTAGCTGAGTGCTAGAGATCTTGCACAGCATGTGCCAGGCCTTGAAATATAGCCATGAATCCTGCAAAAAAATAAAAGGGAGAAGGAAGGAAGGAAGGAAGGAAGGAAGGAAGGAAGGAAGGAAGGAAAAAGATAAGGGATGGGAAGAAGAGAAAGGAATGAGTCATTAAAACAAAAGGACAAGTGGTACAAATATAAATATATGATATACTAGATCTTTAAAATCTTTACATATCTTTAGAATTTTAGTGACATCAAACTGGGTGATATTATGACATTAAAGGATGGCACATAAAAAGTTCTGCCTTGGCCTGGCCTAAAGCAAACCAATGGGTGGGTGACCTGGAGATATCTCCTCCCTGGCTTGATTGGGAAAGGTTTGAGCTGTGCTGCTTCAGGATGTACAGCATAGTGAAGGGGCCACAACTTCTGTGACAGACAGTGTGAGTGTGCTAGGCCTCTGGTAATGCATTACCAGTGCTTTTCATGCCCATGCCTGCAGCACTCCCCACCCCCCAACTGGTTCATAATGGTCTGCTCCATTGCCTGGTGCAGGTTTTTTCCGACCAAAGGCCTGAGTGTCCACACCCTGTTTTGGCACAGCTGGGCATGGTATAGTTGTGGAGGGAATAGCCAAAGTAGCCTTAGCATGATGAAGGGTCAGCAGCTTCCCCTCATCCCTATTTTCAGGTGGTCCTGGAAGAAGTAAGCAGGGTTGTGGTGTGTGTTGTCTGAAGACATGGAAACACATCTTAGTCCTTATGGTGTCCATCAGAGTTGTTGATATGTTCAGCAATTCGATTTTTTGTTGTTTTCTTGTTTTTTGTTGGAGAGAGAGAGAGAGAGAGAGAGAGAGAGAGAGAGAGAGAGAGAATTTTATATATATATATATATATATAGTTTTTGGTGGACACAACATCTTTGTTTGTATGTGGTGCTGAGGATCAAACCTGGGCCACATGCATGCCAGGCAAGCACGTTACTGCTTGAGCCACATCCCCAGCCCTTTTCTCTCTCTCTCTCTCTCTCTCTCTCTCTTTTTAGAAGTTATCTGTCTGTGAGAAGCAGGTGTTACATGAGAAGAGAAAAAAAGCTTGCTCTACACTTTTCTGGACTAATGGAAGAAAAATGTAAACTATTTGGAAAAGTTAGTCTTGTTCAAAAAGTATATGAAGGCTTAGAGTCATCTTTAAAGGATGCCATTTTGGAGAAGAAGTCAATAGAAGCAGAAAATCTGGAGACCATATATGAAAACTCTGGCTAGGTCCATATCTAAACTTGATAATGAAATATTCTTTCTAGAAAAAAGAGCTAAAAGTAGAGAAAACTAAACATTTTCAAAAAAAAAGAATTGATGATGGATATATTAAAAAGAATTAAGTCCCTATAAGATGAATCAAAGTCCCTCAAATCTCAAGCTAAAATAACCTTGAGAATATTTAAAGTGAATAAAGAAGCAGTTACAGTAAGCAATAAAAGAGGCTTTAAATGAAAATTCTTAACTTCAGGCAAGTCAGAAATAGCTTTTACAAGAAGTTGAGGTATGGAAAGAGAAAGTGAATGGCCTCAATAAACATAAAATGACATTTGAACACTCTAAAATACATAAAGAACAAGTTTTAGAAGATAAAGAAAGTCACATTAAGTCTCTGACTTAACACTTGCTACAGATAAAAGATTGGGCTCCTGTGCTTGCAAAAGTCCTAACTAATTATTATAACTTGAATTTGGAAATGGAGAGTGAATCAGAAATTGGGCATCACTTAGAACATCAGCCAAAAGAGGTTTTGAAAAAACTATAAATTTTATAATTTTAGAAAGAGAAAGAAATCAAATTTCTACTTTATTATCTGAAGTAATTGAAACAAAGAAATACATTATTGGACATATTAAAAATCTTAAGACAAAAAAAGCATCTTTTCAAGCAGAAAATACACAGTTTGAAAGTGAGAATCAGAATTTTCAGCAAAAACTTAAAGTCATGATGGAACTATATCAAGAAAATGTAATGGAACTCCAAAGAAAATTAATAAAAGAGGAAAATTTTCAGGTAGAGCAAGAGGAGAAACTTTCCAAAGTGGAAGAAAAGATCAGCCATACAACTAAATTACTGGAGACCTATAGAAATCGAGCCAAAGATCTTGAAGAAGAATTCGAGAGAACCATTCATTTTTATCAGGGACGTGTTATGTACTATGAGAAAAAAGCACACGGTAATGAGTTGGCAGCTCAAAGTGCTGAAAGATACCTCAATGATTTAAGGGAACAAAATGCTCACAACAAACAAAAATTAACTGAAATGGAATTCAAGTTTAAACTTGCTGAAAAAAGATCAATCTACACTTGATGTTTCAAATACAGCTTCTGGCAGAGAGCATTCCTCAAATGGTCCCTCACCATTGGGTCAACCTTCATCTGAAGTGAGAGATTCTCTTTTGGAAAAGAAGGGTCCTCTCAGACTCTCTCCTTTGGTGCCAGTGAGAGAAAGAAGGGGCTCAAGGGGCCCAGAGAATTCTCCGGACCATCTAACTAGCAATGAAAGAAGAGAAGCAAACTGATATGTTAACTGATCCTCAGAGAGCACCTTCTGACACTGGGCCCCTGGCACCTCTATGTCAACAGGCTCATAGGATAATGATCCCTCCACCAGGCCAACCATATTCTGATCTACAGCTTCCTCTACAAGGCAAGGTGGATGTTATTCTAATTATGGTAGACAATCTGGATCAGCAGATTTCAAAAGTTCCACTATGATGTCTTTGGATCAAATGGATGGGCCTTTATCTTCAGACATGGAATCCAGTAGAAATGATACCAAAGTCGCTTTTGGTGATTCCAATGTGCCTGATTCATCTCTCCCTGCTGAAAATGAAGCAACTGGCTCTGGCTTTGCTTTCTCACCTTTCCCTCCAATTAGACATCCATTGTTTCCAGTGGAACCAAGTAGTCAGTTCATGAGAAGAGGAAATTTTTTCCCTCCACCTCCTCCAGGAAACATGTATGGAGCATCTCAAGAATATTTTCCACTGGGCCTACCACCCCCTCCATTCTCAAAGGGACCATGGTGTTTTCCTCATTATCTCCCCCCACCTCCCACCCACACATTCTGAAAGTGGAAATGAATTCCCTTAAGGATTGAGTCCACCTTCAAATGAGCCTGGTACTGCACATCCAGAAGCACAACAAAAAACCTGAGAATATTTTTTATCTGCTTTCAAAAGTAATTTATCTCTCATTTTTAGTTTAAGTAACTGCTTTATTTGACGTGATTATACTTTTGCTCCATTTGAAGCTTAATGGAAATATAATTTTTAGGATAGTATTTTGTAAATAAAGATTTTTAAATATGAATCTCATGAGTAAATTATTTCCATTTTATCTTATTCTAGAGATTATAACACTTAATTTGATTAATGTACAATTATATGAGCAGCAAATGGAGTTTTATATATGTAATCTTGCAGTTGGGGATATTTTAAACTTCAAACAAATGCTGTCCCTTTATACAAAGAAACATATTTACTGTGATTGTAGCAAATGTGAAAGTAACTTCATGCTTAATGAAATATTTTAATTGATTTAAAGTTTTGTTTGGCATTAATGATAAAAATCAGCTAGTTTTCCCTTTAAAAAAATACTCTAGAGTACATTAAGAGTAAATCAGAAAACACAACTATATATGTCATGGACATAGGAGATTTCAAATATAAAAAAAAATTCAGTTCTCAGAAAACTTGTAGAAATTGGAAATCATAATTTAAGTTCACTCTGTCCTTGTTTCCCCTTACATCTTTTTTATTTTATACCCATTTTGCTGTGGTTCACTGATAAGGGGAGTGTCCTAGTCTTTGTTTTGTTTTAAGAGAAAAATTTGTAAAATGGAAATGAATTATTAGGACAGTGAAATGAAGAAACAAAGACATAACTCCAAATGTTGTTATTGTTAGATTCAATAGTCATAAAATGACTCTGCTAATCTACCATAAATGTTTGAAGTCCTTAATCTCAAATTCTATATTATTGCAAATAAATAACAATTTACAAAACTGCACCAGTCCTTCCTGAGAGGACACTTTGAGCAATGTTTCCCTGATAGAGACAAAGAAAGAACACTTATTAAAAATACCTTAATTAAGAATTAGTGGTTAAAGCTTTTTTTTCAAGTGTTAAATATGCTCTTTAGATTCTTGTAAAGAGTATACATTTAAATCTAATATAAATTTAGATATAATTTTCTTCTTAAATATAAGAAGCAGCTTTATCACAATGGATGAACAGTGAAGACTTTCAATTATACTTGAGCCCGTGAATAATTTAAATTCGAAAAAAGTTGGGCATTGAAAAAGAAACTCTATAAGTTATATAAATCTAATCTGTTTTCCCTCAAGAGTAACACTGGTAGTTAAATCAATCCTATAATATTTACTTTACAGCATAAAACATTACTCACTCTGAGTGGAAGACAAGTCTACATTTATGATCTAATAAAATGGACTGATGATCCCCCACTGATGTTAATCCAGAGTTACTTCTACCCTAATATGTACAGGATAATAGTTGCTTGTATATTTCATGTTTTACCCCAAGAAACTGAAAATAAAGTAATTTCAGATTGAAAACAGAACTGAAATGCCTAAATACCATGACACAGTCATATAAAAAGTTATACCTTCAGAAGAAAAACCTGAAAGGCCCTTCTAAATATGACACCATTTATTGAATCAGGTTACAACTTTGTTTACAGCTCTGAAAATGAAAGTTAAATAAAATAAAACAATATTAAAATCTTATTTATAGAAAAATAAGGAAGTATTCATTCCAAAAAGGAAGTCATATACACAGTACATATTTATGTGCACTTTACCTAAATAATTGGGCTTTTATTGTACAAATCAAAATTCTCATAACTAAAGAAAAGTCATGGGCTGGAGATGTGGTTCAATGGTAGATCGCTTGCTTTGCAGGTGTGAGACCCTGAGTTCAATTCTCAGCACCACATAAAAATAAATACTCGAAATAAAGGTATTGTGTTCAACTACACTTAAAGATAAATATTTTTAAAAAAGAATCCTGATCCTGATATTTGAGCTGTCATCATTAAAAGAATAGTCTTTTCTACATGATTTATGTGGAGAAATATAGCAACAGTGAAGGAAACTAATATGTATATGATTAAGTGTCTTATTTATAAATGATTTGTAGTTGTTGATAGATTTTACTTTATTTATTCACTCATATGTAGTACAGATTATCAAACCCAGTGCCTCAAACATGCTGGGCAGGTGCTCTGCTACTGAGCCACAACCCCAGCCCATGATTATGTTTTAATAACCACAAACAATAATCTATAAAGGAAATGGGTATATCTCTCTTATCAAAGAAATCAAGCCAAAATAGATAACAACAATAATTAGACCTTAATTATTTATAATGTTTTACTCATTATAGAGATTCTTTGATTCTATAGTGGTTTTATCAAAGGCCTGAAATGTTTCCTAGCACTTGGCCAGCATCTACCCTTCTACAACAGAGAAAATGGGTATTGTAGAATTCATTTAATGAAGTAAATTCATATACCCAGGGATATCAATATTCCTCAAATATGCTATGGACCTGAGAGTACTGATATTGAGTAAAAGGATAGTGGTTAAAAAAATTGAGGGCTTGGGTTTTAACCCAGAAATACAGTGATCACCTGGAACCTGCGAGGTCCTGGGTTTGATACTCAGCATCATGTATAAATAAATAAAGTTATTGTGTCTATCTAGGACTAAAAAAATATTTTTAAAAAATGGTTAACATGGAAAATTTCACATCATGTATATTTTAGCCACAATAAAACTTTTAAAGTGGAAAATAAACAACTGAGGTGTGCCAGTGAGGGAGCTGTGAGTTCTCACTGAGGTGGGTTCTCAGTGAGGATGGCAGGTGGCCTGATTTCAATAAGTGTTTTAGGTGGTGCCACATCCTGGGATATCCAGTCTGGTGAGGTGTTCATTTGAGGATTCACTTAGGAGAGCTTGGTTGGTGATGGAATGGTGTTCATAAATTCTTGCCTGAAATTTTGAATGAATGAGTCATTATGCCATTAGCTATATTAATATTGGGAAAAAGGACAATTTGCAACTTTTATTTTCTTGTCTTTTTTTCAACATACAACTTTATGAAGGTCAAAAATATGAAAAATGTGGCCTCCTATTCTGAGAGTGTTTAAAAGTGAAAAATTCCTGGAAATAAGAAATTAAAACTTCCTTTGGGACATGTAAAACTCTATTGAAAATATGAATATACTTTAGGTACCCATAGGAAAATTTAGTGATATAAACTACATGATTCAATTTTTCCTAAGTCCCCTCTCTAACATTAGCCCATGCCTCTAAGAACAGCACCACCTGGGGACTGCAGGGTCTGTTGCCTGAGAGAAGTGAGCTATGCCCTGAGCAACCTTGATTATGGCTCTCTTGTGAGGGTCAGAGAAAGGCAGGAATGGAGAAGTCTAGGCAGGGCAAAGGAATGGCATGACAAGAAATATTCTGAAATATGATGCCTTCTGTCTGGATGACCTGCTGGAGGAACAGGTGTTGAAAGGAATTGCGGCCCCAGTGAACATGGGGGAGGAACCATGGAAAGCATGCTTTAAAACCTGGCTTCTTCTAGGAACTTGTCAGTAAGCCTGTCTCTAACTGTGCCTGGAGAGGTGAGTGGCTGTACGCACATGGGACAAAGTGCCAGGTGGCCCTTCCTTCATCAAGGATAAAATCAGGGCCTTCAGCATCTTAGTTAGACCCTGACTTTTTGTGAATGGCTTCTTTGAGTTACCTTAATATTTTCGAGATTCAATCATGTGAATCAGTACTCTATTCCTTTCTATTGGAGAACAACATTCCATTAGATGGATATGCTGTATTTATTAATCTATTTTGTTATTTGAGTCAATTGTACTTTTTAGCTATTTGAGTAACATTGATGACAACACTCATATACAAACTTTTGTAGGCATGTCTACCTTTGTTTCCCACACCTAGGAATGGCATTGCTGGATCACTTATTAAGTCTGTAACATGGAAGCTGTTGCCATTCTGTGCTAGAAAGCAGCCACATCCTTTATCTTTCCTTCCCCAGGTAACTGTGTGGTTTTTATTTCTCTGAGAACATATGTTATTGTCCATGTCTTTGATTGTAGCCATTCTTCTAGCCATTAATTTGTCTCTTATTTTGACTTTGATTTGCAATACCTTAGTGATGAATAATAAATGGTGATTCTTTTGAAAACATAATGATCTTTAGAGGAGTGCATATTCATATATTTGGACACTTTTTTGGATTTTATTTGTTGCTTAGTTGTAACAGTTATTTGTATATTTGGGGTAACAGTCATTTCTAAGTTATAATTTATGATTTGCAAATGTTTTCTCCCATTCTGTGAGTTCTCAATTCAATTTTTTAGTGCATTCTTTGATGCTCAAAAGCCTTTATTTTCAACAAAGTTCAAGTTACTTATTATTTCTTTTGTTACTTAACTGATGCCTATATTAGTAACCACTACTAAATGTAGGGCCAAAATGATGCATTCCTATGTATTTTCTAAGAGTTTGCAGTTTTATCTTTGCATTGAGTTCTGTGATATATTTTGAGGGTGACTGTGTATGTGTGTACACGTGTATGTGTGTACACATGTTTGTGTATATGAAGTGAGGAAGGAAGTCTGACTCCATTCTTTTCTAAATGTTTATCTGTTTTCTCATCACCCTTTGTTGAAAAGGTCCTTTGTCATTGACATGCCCATGCATCCTTGGTGATGCCTTAGCACATCATAATATTGACCATAAATGTCGCGACCCCCCTTGCCCGCAAGGAAGATGCGACTCAGGAATCTTCTTTCAGCAGTTTATTCAGGCCCTTGATATTCTTCTAATAATTCTTCTACTAAACTTCGGATGCCCCTCCCAGCCTTAATAAAGCACCGTGAACCCCAATGCGAAGCTGCCACGTGTACCCTTCTCACAGGGTGCTAGAAAACGACACGCCAACTTTCTCTGATAAGGGGCTGACAACACGCCAACTCTCTTTAATATGGAGTTGTCCTTCACAGACCACAGCG